TTGGGCTGTTTATAAAATACTTTTTCTGACTTGTCTAACTCTGGGGAATCCTAACAAGACACAATTTTACTGAGCGGTGGAATATTCCTTTAAGTTAAAATGTATTTGTGGAAACCACAGTTTACAAGAAAAAACTTGAATGTTAGATTTATGCTTTGACTGAGTTTGTGTGTTCTGTTGTTTTTGAGATCTGCTAAATAAATCTTATTTGCATTAGTTGGAAACCCTAGTGAGTTATTGAGACAGTTCTTTGGTGTGTAATAGAGAAATAAGCTTGCAGAGAATGAAGGGTTTAAGCTTAAGACATTTTTTATTTCTTTTTTTTTGTGAGGGAGATTTATTGGCCACTATATCGGCTATTGGCCTTTGATAAAAGTTTTATATCGGTATCGGCTTCAAAAAAAGCATATCGGTCGGGCCTTAAAAAATCTAACTGTAATATTTTAGAATAAATATTTGGGTGTCTGACGTGACAGACAACTTTAAAACTCCAACAAAAACAAAAACCTGCTGGAGCCCGGTCTGAAAATCCCTCCTTCAGCTAAGATCCCTGCTGCATCGGGAAAAGAAATTCCCTTAAAGTGAATGAATGCTATTGGTGAGAAAGAACACGTGGTTTAAGGCAGAAATGAAGACGCTGCTTTTCTTTAGCCAACCACTGTGCTCATCTCTGTAGCAAATCAATTCATCATGGTATTAGATTTTTGATTCCAACATTTGAGTTTTTTTCTTGAGAAGGAAAGGAGAACAATGTCACAGCAGACCAACATTATACAAAACATTCCAAGTCTCAAAGCGAGGTTCGTGTTTTCCATCTTAGTGTTTTACTAAGCTGATACGAAAATGCCAGAATAAATAATATAAATTCAGAACATCTTTTAAATAGTCTCTTCTGTAATTATTCTTTCATATTTCTTGTCTTTATTTCTAGTCATGTCTAGTGTTGGATGACAGTCTTACAGTTAAAGATCCAAAATGTTGTCTCTAATGTTTTGAATATTGTGAAAAAGTTTTATTTTTTTACAGTGAGGGTCAATGCCTGGGTGATGTATTTCATCCACATTTCCTGTTAGGAAAAGGCTTCTGAAAGAGGCGTCTCCTGGCGGACCGAGAGAGCGGCACTGAGGCAGTGGCAGACCCATCGACATTATATATATATATATATATATATATATATATATATATATATATATATATATATATATATATATATATATATATATATATATATAGATAGATAGATATAGATATAGATATAGATATAGAAATAGATATAGATATATATATATAAAATGGGTTTCCATAGGCTCCAATAACACGTTTTTGAGGAAAAATGGGAGGTGGCCACCACCACCATTTTGACCGTGTCACAGGTTCCGTCAAGCCCAGACAATTCCACAAAAGGGAAGAGAGGTGGAGCTGAGGGTGGGGCTGTAAGGCTGGGATCAAATGACGACACCCGTCAAACTGAAGCTAATGTAGCTACAAGCTAACCTGAAACTAACCCAAAGCTAATGCGGAGGTGGGAGCTAAGCTAACAGAGGTAGCAACTAGCTACAACCGGAGTTAACTGTGCACAACACCAGAGCTTCTGAGTCAGAGATACGCCCGGCTGACCGCTGGGTAAAACCGGGTGGAACACAGAGGTCTCCCGAGAGCTTCACAAGCCGGCAGCCGCACAGCAGACAAGCGCCGCTGTGATCTGAGATGCGCAGAGCTGCCGCTGGGGAGAACCGGGTGGAAAACATCGGTTTCCATCCGAGAGCTCCGCAAGCCGGCAGCCCGCGCAGCAAACAACTGCGGGGAGGGGTCCATACCAACAGTCGGAACCCAGCTCGATCAACGTGTTATATTTCAACCCATTTTCTAAAGTGCAGCGTTATGTTAAATGCACTGGGTTTTACCCTATTTAATTTAAATTTCATGGTTTAACAGTACATGTTAAAATCTAAGCTCAGCTCGGCAGTGACCTAAAATACATAAATATAATTTAACTTACCGAAAAAATGAAGTGGAGACTCCTTGGATGCTCTATTAGTGCAATTAACGCCACAGCAACTCATTTTGTCCAACAATTGCACAAAAAATATCCAAAAAAGAATACACAAACGCTACAACTAATGGTCTAAATTGAGGGACTGAAAAGAACAGTTTTCAGGTGAGACTGAGGCTCAGACTGAGGCTCTACTGAGGCCTTTCCACCGAGCTAGCTGTGGTCACGTGGGTCTGATGCTCATTAATTATACAGAATTTTAGGCTTTTAATACACTTAAACAGAAGAGTGACAAAAAATTCACCCCTTCAGAGTTGTCATGAGTGTGAACTAGATCATTTAAACCAAAAACATGTTTTGGTACCAGGCTGTAAACATGTTTATTTCTACTGTGAAATTGGTATTTTTAACATGGGAGTCAATGAGGATTTGCTTGCTTCTGACACCAGCCCCTAGTGGATGAGGGTGGAACTGCAATTTATTTCATTTCCACATTGGCCTCACATTCAGACCCGCATTGTGGGGGCTTGGGCAGACCGCAACCCCCTCAACCCCCCCCCCCCCCCCCCCCCCCCCACGTGTGCTGTCAGAGTTTCTCAATCTAAAATTGAGTTGTTAACGAGCGCGTGCACACAAGCACGCACTCATACAAGACTTACCGCTTAGGAGAAAAGCAAACAGATTCTGCAGCATTCTGGAGGATTTCCTGTTAAATGCGACCATTAGATGAAAAAGGGAAAGGGGGCATTTTTTTCAAGGAGGTGAGCAGCTCAGAGCGCTATAGAATGTCAGCAATATGCGGAACAGAGAATTGGACTTAAGTTAATCAAGGATAAAGAGAACAAAGTGTTATCACTTTGTACCCTTTTGGGAGACTGAAGCATATTAATTAGGAAAGTGTTGATGCAATATTTGATGGGTACTAAACTATTTTTTCAAATTTAAAGTATTGATTAATTAGCTGGAATTGATAGGTTAGTGTTGTTCAATGTTAAGTTTGCTCTGATCATTTTATTGATGAGTATTACTCCGGTTTGGTATGTGGAGGTAATGCCCCAGAACTGGTGGCCAACTGCCAATAATTTCAACAGAAGAAGAAGAAGAAGGCTCAGAGCGCTAATGTGTCAAATCGGCAGGTGAGTGGCTGAGCCAGGTGGAGGTGCGGCTGCCTCACCTGGACACCATTACGGTGCAGCCACATAGTGATTTGCTGATAATGTCACGTTTTTCAGCTTAGCCATCAACCACAGCTGGTTCTACAAAAATGTGGAGCAGAGTTTTTAACCTGAAGATGGAGATAGAATTACGGTTTTGGGCTGAAATATTAAATTTAAAGTAAGTAGCACTAAACTGCCACACTAATGATTACACATGTGTACAGCACAATTAGTCACTCATCTATAGGTCAAGGTCACATTTATTTCTAAAGCACACTTATTATTGCTTCCGCAACCCAAAGTGCTGTACAACACAGAAGATAAAATTGCAAACAACTATAACTAAAAACTATAAAAATATGCAAGTTAGGATAAAAACAACATTACATCACACAATTATAAAATCAATAAAAATGAGAAAGAATTACAATGACAAAATAAAATCATCCTACATAAAAGCCAGGTTGAATAAATGAGTTTTAAACAAGGACTTAAGGACTATACAGGTTATCAGCAAAAAAAAAGTTAATTTAGGCATTACTTGCTCTTTAAGTAAAACAGTGGAAACTCAATGTGTCCCACCCTAATCAGCCAGTTAACTCAGAACACCTAAAAAGGTTTCCTGAACCTCTAAATCAGGGGTGTCCAACCCTGGTCCTCAGGGCACACTGTCCTGCATGTTTTCCATGTCTCTGCTTCAGCACACCTGATTTATATTGGCTCAAGAGGACATCAAGTGCTGCAGATGCCTGTTAATCACTCAGTCTAGTCAGGTGTGTTGCAGCAGCGAAACACTGATGTTTGAAGGATAACATGCAGGACAGTGTGCCCTGAGGTCCAGGGTTGGGAAACACTGCTCTAGGGCACTGATCCCCAACTGCCTTCCTCGAGGGCCGGTATCCAGCATGCTTCACTGTGTTCCCTGCTTCAACACTCCTGATTCTAATCAGCAGGTGATTGACAGGCTTCTGCAGAGCTTGATGAGCTGCTGAACAGGTGAATCACATATGGTAGATTAGGGAAACAACTTGAACATGCTGGACACATCCCATCTATGGGGAAGGATGTTCGGGATCACTGCTCTAGGGCCACATACACAGCATGTTTTAGTGGAGGGCTATTAAGGGTCGGTATCCACCATGTTTTGGTTTTAACCCTGCTTCAACACACCTGATTTAATGGTTGACTCACCTGTTCAGCAGCTCGACAAGCTCTATTAAAGCCTGTTAGTAATTCAAATTAAAATCAAGTGTGTTGGAGCAGAGAAACAACAAAAACATCCTGGGTTGGGGATCTCGATGACCAGGATTGGACACACCTGCTCTCAATGATCTGTCTGGCTCAGTAGGCTGCTCAAGCATGAGGACAACTGACTGGACAGATGTCCAGAAGACAGCCATTGACGTCCTCCACAAAGGGCCGTTGCTAAAGAAGCTGCTTGTTATTGATGGAGTGTTGCATCCATGCATGTCCATAGAGATTGAGTAGAAGGAAAAGGTGTGTTCAGAAAAGGCTTTAGTACCTCAGCAGAGCCACATTAGTGCAGTAATTCATGTGGCCCAGTCAGGTTCGGAGTTTATAGAAATGAGCACTTTTATCTGATTCATACTAGAAAGACATGGAAAAACTGTGCGTGACTCTATGTAGTCTTACTTTTTGAAACGAGGTACCAATTATTGAACCTTTTCACTTTTTAAAGGCGCCAGTTTAAATACACCTGGCCTGGCTACATAACCAACATGGAGCCACATCAGTGAAACATCATTGTAGCTTGTTGTCAACGAGCTCTTTGTTGTCGTCTTCAGCAACGATTTAGGTGTGTTTGCTTTCGGTTTTAAATTCAAGCTCACCTGTCCGGGATGTCCTTCTTCTTGTAGCTCGACATTTTCAAAACCCCTCGTGTTTGTTTTGTTACTGAAATCTCCCAAAGCTGAGGGTTCCCGCATGGACGCACGCGCTGTCTGTAAGTGGTTTGAGCTTGTCCGGACGCTACCAATTCAACAACCAACACTCAGAAAAACGTAAAGATTATTAAAACCATATCTGTTCCAATATTTGGACTTTTCGGAGAAACCGTCCACGTAATGAAGCGGAAACCGCCGACAGCAGGCGCACGAAGATGACGTCAGAAACACAATTCGAGCTCTTCTTTCCGCCTAGTGGTAAGATTTGGGTATTACAGCTAACATTCTTTTACATTTATTTTAAAAAGAAAACACGAATAAAAACGAACTAATATATCAAATTGACAACACTTGTTACCAACTACAAATAATATTTAAGAAATGTGACCAACTTTTGGGTAAAATGTATGACAATGTTTGCTTGTTCAGATTTAGAGTAGCTGATGCAGCATAATAAAAAAAAATCAAATATGTAAATGTAGATAAGCATTTTTTATAATATAATAATCTGTACAGATACGCTATTTTATTTATGTACCGACTAAAGATAGAGGGAAGCAGCTGAACACAGCCAAGTTCACAAAACACATCCTCCCACACACCCTCTAGGAGACGTGGTTCCCAGCCTTTTTTCACAAGAAATTTCCTGTGTCCAAGACAAACCAGGGCAGCTCCCCCCAACTCCCATCCACATGCACACAGTGAAAAGTGAATAATTACAACCTATATACAGGTATGCAGAGACGTGCCTCCTACATAGTTGATTGTACTATTGGTGTGTGATCTGGATTTTATAAATGTAATTTTTACAGATATTATCTTGGTAACCTTACAACCTCAGCTCACAGAAAATGGGGACCCCAGTTTGGGAACCACTGTGAGCTGGTCCAGTGTTCAAAGGCCAGGATGAAAACCACAATGCTCCTCCTTGATCTGAGATTTGACTATCCAACAGACCCTCGTCCAGAACCACTGAATAGACTTCACTAGGGAGGTTTAGGAGTACGATCCCTCTGTAGTTGGAGCACAGTCCCGTTTTTCAATGGGGGGACCACCACCTCATTGTGCCAACCAAAGAGAACTGCCCCTAATCACTCACCTAGGATTGGATAACTAATTAGGACATAATACAAATTGAGCAGATGACAGTAAGCTGAAGTTTCAGATAATAAAAAAACATAAATGACTACTTCATAGACAAGTTTCACTCTGAGATGTCATCTTTTTGATTGACGTGTGTAAATAAAGACAGGTCACATCCACAGGAAACGATGAACTTTTAATCCCTGTACAAATGGATTTCAGTGTGCGACATTTGGTTTTGAGATATTCTTAATCAGCTGTCATTTTTTATTTTATACCTTGTGATACAGGTTTTGAATCAGGTGTTACAGTCAAGAAAATCAGGATTCCTCAGATCTGCTGTGCCATCACTAATAGGCTCCTAAAACTGATTGTCGACTGGTTTTGACAGATCAGTTAGGAGATTTTGGCTTCAAAAACTTTGATTTACAGGTTAAGTCACATGACTCAGAGGATTCTCAAGAATTCAGAGATCTCTGTGGAAAAATGTCCCAAATATCTGCCATCAACATCCAAATATTTGTCATTCTCTGCTTCTAACATTACAGGTGAAAAAGACAAAGTGAATAGACTGAATTACAAAATGGTTTAATCATAAAATTGCAGACATTTACACAGAAATGATTTATGATGATTCATTTTTGATGCGCTGACCTTTTTGGAAGACAGACAGACAGGTAGCACCTATGCTCACTAGAGTAAGATGGGTTTTTCCCACTCCTGCATCAGTGATTTCTCATCATGTGATCTCAAAGGAAAATGCCATAAAAGGTTCAGAAAAAGGTGTGGTCACAGCTTTATTGCAGTGTTCAGAGATCTTTAAATCGGGATAGAGTCAAAGTTTAACAGATACGTGGCTCCAGACCGAACTTCCTGCAGACACTTGACCATCGCTGCTGCAGAGAAGACGACTCATGGCTGGAAAGAGGGAGTGTAACAGGGCAGTGCTGGTGAGTGTTGCCGACTTTGACTTTGGAGTGCAGCTGGGAAAGAGGCCTGGAGCCCACCAGGATGCCCAAAAACTCCACAAAACCCTCATGAAACGGGGCTTTGAGGTGAAAATCCACACCGATCTGAGCAGTGAGGAGATCTACCAGCTGTTTCTGGAAGGTAACCTGCTTTATTAGTCCATCAGAGGATTCTGTGTTACTGCTCCAGCTAGGGAGGTCCACACATCTGATTCTGGATCTGATTTTAAGTTAAAAGAAGCCGCTTCATGGTGCTGATCAGTAATGTGAAGATAGGGAGACTATTTAATTTAAATCAGAACCAGGCTGCACGGGGACGAAGCAGGCAGTACTGTTGCCTTCCAGCAAGATGTTCGCTGGTCCAAGTCCCTGCTGTAGCGTTTGTGTGTGGAGGAGTTAGCTTATTCTCCCCATGCGCGTGTGGGTTTTCTCCAGGTGCTCTGGCTGCATGTTAACTTTAGTGGAGGCTCCAAATCGTCCCTATGAATGAGTGTGTGTGTGACTGGTTGTGTGTCCTTGTGATTGACTGGAGACTGTCCATGCTGGAGTGGGGCAAGATGTTCAGAAAGTGTCTGTAAAGACAGAAGATTTGATCCAAACATGTCCTCAAAGACCTCAAAAACTCAGAAGCTCTCTGGCATAAAATAAAACTAAATAAAATAAAATAAAGATCACGAGCAAGATTCCCATAGCTCAGCCTGATTTAAAACTAGCACTCGTTTATTTATTCCATATATTTGAGCCATTAGTTTGAAAATTTAGAGGTTAAAGTGAAAGATGAATGAGGTTTAGGACCCACGTCAGCAGCTCATTTATTTAGACCAAATGTTTTTGTTGCTACGTTTTCATCTCTGTTTGTGTCGGACTGTCCAGTGAATAAAACATTTGTTCTAATGAGCTTTAGATCAAAAACAGGAAATCGTGTGAGTCCTGCAGCAGCTGGCTGAGACAGAAATCACAAGGTGCTTCACGAGCACTGTAACAAATAGTAAAATTGGTTTAAAAAAATGTTAAATTAAAAAAATATTGAGAAACACCTGCATGAAGGAGGTTGGTGTGTAAGAGAGAAGACTCTCTCTGTGACATCAGACGTCAGCAGGATTGAGATCAAATAGACTCAGAGTTCAGAAGGCGTTTTATAGCCTTTTATCTCTGATGAACGTAACATTAGAGTCACATGACCCAGCCCAGGTCCTGGTTAACTTCTGATAAACGGCTTTAGAAACCCAAACAAACAGAACAGGTCACCTGTGAACAGGCAACTCCTTCATGATTAAATGCACACTTTGTGGTGCACAAAGGTGCAGCATGTGCATAATTACCTGATGTTCTGTTCACCGTGTTCAGACGTGCTTGTTGCGTGTCCTGCTGCCTCTCGTTAACGACGTGCAAATGACTGGCTCTGTCTGATCTCCTGTCTGCTGCAGAAAGCAAGAAGCCGGTGAAGGACTGTTTCCTGGCTGTGCTGTCATCTCACGGGGAGGAGGGCTGCGTGTTCGGATCTGACGGGAAACCTGTTCGACTGGCTACTATCTTCACATGTTTTGACAATGAATACATGGAGAAAAAGACCAAGCTGTTTCTTATACAGGTCACCATCACCACAGCAGCACACTCCTAGCTTAGAATCCCTGTCCTGCCTTTGAAACTTGAGTTTAGTTTGAGATGAGACAGAAGTGCTTGTTCTCTCTGCAGGCATGTCGAGGAGAGGGTCTGGATGGTGGAGTAGAGGTGGACTCATCCGATAGTCCCACAGACAGCAGCTTCTCACAGGCTCTGTCTGTACCAGTGGACTCCGCTGTCATGTACGCCACCTCACCAGGTAAACCACCATAGAGCACAGGTATCTTCTGATTTACCTGCTGAGCTTCTGAAAACACCATGATGCCTGTTAGACATCCCAGTTTATCTCTTTAACAACAAAAAACACTCCATCATAACACCTGGAACCTCTGCCACAACCAACAAAATTTTAAATCATGCCTGTGAAAGTCCAGACCTGAGCAGCACCTTCAACTCGCAGCTGAACCCATAGAGATAAGCCAAACTTCTCCCCATCCTTGAACACAAGATGCTGCTTACTGGTGCCACCATGTTGGGAACCAGAGGGTGAGCACTCAGGATATGGAGCTGAGAGTCCTACTTACTCACAATCATGGTGTTTTTAAGCATTTGAACACGTCATAAAAGAGAAGTTGAGCAGCAGCAGTAAGAGCTGTGAGCCACACAGCTCGTGTGATGTCTGAACACCACCTTGGTAGGTATCAAAAATCCTTGGAGCTATCTTCTTTTATCACCATCCCAACTAACTAAAGCCATCAAGAACATTTGAACAGGTTATTTCTTTTCTCCTTAAAAATAAAATAGTTCTAATTAACTATGAAACCCCCACCTGACGTTCACCAGTGAGTATAACTTCCTTCTAGTGATCGCCAAACATCTGTAGAACCAAACAAGCATCTTAATGGCCATTAAGAATTAAAGTAAATAACTATAAATCTTACACATATTCTCAGTTATGAACACACGGACATAAAGACTCTTGTCCTCTTTTTCAGGGTATGTTGCTTTCACCAAAGCTTCTGGGTCCATCTTCCTACAGACCTTCTGCACTTTATTAGATGATGAGAAGCATCGCAACATGGAGCTAATTCGCTTCATGACTCGCATCTCTCACAGCATCGCCTTCGGCTTCCAGGCCAAGGGTGCTTTTGACGGGATGAAGGAGATGCCGTGTCTGCTGACACGACTGACCAGGGAAGTGTTTCCGTTTGCAGCATCGGGGAGAGATGGAGGGGCTGCAGGAGTTTCGGCCACCTTGGCATAGCGGATGTCAGAGCAGAGACTTATCTTATGGATCAGTTGGTGCAACACTCAAGCTTGTGACTGATGTTTGGGAACATAGTCATTATCAGCTGGAATGTAGACGGGTGAAGGGCCAAACATCCCATGACCCATTCTGCAGAAATGCTGTTATTAAGCTGTATTTAATGTATTCTACATGTTATATTTAAATGTGGGCTTTTTATTCGACCATGTAATATTTACTGATGCATGCACAATCTTAACCCCCCCCCCTTTTTTTTTTACTGGAAACTAACTTTTTACATGTTGCTCTACATTATGAAGCACAAGCCTTTAGACTTACATTGCTCATTACCTCAGAGATTACCTCACAACTAAAGAGCAGCATTAATCACAAAGTGCTTCCTGCTATAGGAAACGTTTCCTAAGAACCGAACTAGAAGACACGTCTTTCCTTATAACCGAGCACAAGAGGGAACCGTAAAGTGAAGATTTTAGACAGAAACAATGCAACACTAGAATATTCAAAACCAAATCAGTCTCTGTCCTTATCCTTTCAAAGATACATCCCAGGAAAAACTCTCAGCTAGTCTGGGTGTTCCTGGAACATCAAATAAATGTAACAGAAATAAAAGCAGCCAAAAGTGGAGGAAAACACATTCTTATGCTTCATCATGACGGAGTTCTAAACTGTACCCACCAAAACAAGTCAGACTTTAAAGTGAAAGTGGATCAAGAGATGATTAAACCTGAAACTGCTTAACATCAGTTTCTGTAAGTGAACAGCCCTAGAGTCCAGACATCTATGGAACCTGGCTCTGATCCAGCCAGGAAATAGACAGAGCCCGAAAAGACAAGCCTATCTGATTCAGGGTAAAGGTCTCATCACATAAAGATCAGAAGGCGTCAAAGGGAGGAAACACAAGCTTCCGCTTCCTGCTGAACAATCACACCCCACCTGGTAAGGCTTCGTTGGTATTTATCAGACGTGTTTTTATCCCACTGAGGTCTTCAGCAGCCTTCTTTAAAGCCTCTCTGTGTAAAAATGTTTATTTTTCTTTGTCAGGCTCCAAGTATACTTTACTTGTTGTTTGTATTGCATCTGATGTTTTTAAATTGATCTTTAATCAGAATATTTTCCCACTTTATTCACTTATAATTTAGTTTGTAAAAGTAAAATACATGGTTTAGTTATTATGCTATCTTTACCTTAAATAGACTTAAGAGGACACAATTATTCTCTGTACCTGAGGTGCTTTCCCATTACACTTTAACCCTCTCAGGCTCAAATTTAGTGTTGATAAAAGGATGAAAAACTAAGTCCTTCAGGGGTACTTTTGAGTTAAAAAATGCTCATGAAATACGTATGTGGAGTAACCAGGTAGGCAAGTTTTAACGTTGCAAATCTGCAACGCCTGCCTCCAGGGGGTTAACATGCTTCCCCAGCTTCACATTTATTTTAAATAGTGATTTTTTTTATTCTGTTGTTGATTTTGTTCATAACCTTTTGCAGGGAAGCATTGTTGTTGTTTTTTTATTGTTTCTCATTTATTTATTTATAACATTTTCACTATTTTCTAAATAAAACTCTTGAATAAAACAATGTCTAAAAACAACGACAAATGTGTTAATTCAATAATCAACTTTTCGAATCTTGTCTTGTTTTTATTTTGTTTGGAGCTATCTGATAGATCTCTGAGTTTTAGACGGGTAGGGAGTATTTTTAACTTTTGTTCCTGAGTCTGAAGAGATTTCTGTTATTTTTTTAGACAATCATGGAGGTACAACGAGTCTGACCGGTGCTTTTATTTGTGTATTCAGTGTGATTTTGGTTTACTTAAGAAGCAGATGAACTGTCTGACTCCTCTCAGAAATCCTCCCAAGCTTCACCTCCTGATCAAGCACCACACACCTCCACCTGTCACATTGCTCTCGTCACACCCGAGTCCGTGTATGGACATCCCCTCTCAGGCGTCAGCGTGATGGAAGTTCCTGAACGTACTCAGAAATACCTGAGTAATCTATAACTTTTAGCTTGTCACAATTAATCAACAGCTGCCTTCTGACTCAGCCGGCGGGTTTCCTGGTCTTACTCAGGACTTTTTATGGAACTCAGGTAACAAAAAGGAAATGAAAGGAACTCCAACAGGTCCACTGATGAAATCAGAGACACTGATACGGAACTGCTTCTACAAAAGTCTGTGTTTTAAATGGTGTTCACTTATTTAGTGTCCTAGCTAGTTTTTATTTTAGATTAGAGTCTTGTTTCTTTTTCTCTGTTTGATCTTTTCTCATTTAGGAAAGGAGATGACAATTGTCTTTCGAGAAAGTTTTTGTTTTCTTCTAATTGGTAATTATTTGTATCCAAATTATGAATAATTGTTCCATCCTGCTGACATAAATCAGCTGCTGTAGGAGTCTGGAGTCATGGACCTACACTCTAAGAAATGATTCAGGAGGTTAGTTATTAGGACTTGAAAACAAAATCTTTTTCAGCATAAAAATTAGAAATTGTTACATCCATTGTTCGTTAAGTTGATAAGAAGTTGAACAAAACTAAAACTAGTGAACGCCGTCTTAAGTCAGAAATATATTGATTTTGGATAAGCATTTCTGCAACAGATTTTATCCAGCTTGTCGTTGGTTCTTTTGGCTGAAGAGTAAAGTTACGGATTGGCCACTCCGACAATTTCTCTAGAACGCTTTGAACTGGCGTTAAAGATGGCGTGGGCATAGTTTTATACTTCGGTTGTTTTGGTTTATGGTCGAATGAAAAGATGAAAGATTTACCAAGCACCACCAAAACCACGCCTCCGCCAGATCTGGCAGATTCTGATTGGATCAGTAAAAGTAATGTGTCATGTCTTTTAACGCTATGTGAGATCAGTTCTAGTGGAAACATTTAAAGTCATATTACTTATTATATTCTATAGGATTATAAGAAAGTAATTAATACTTTGATTGCACAGATTGGTCACATCTTATTATTGATTAACACTTTGTTTGATTGGCTTTCAAGTTCTTTGATTTATTAAAAGGAGAGAGTCCTTTCTTCATTCTTCTCTTGAGCTGGAAAGAAGCCGTTTATAAGCAAATGCATGAGACCTTGAGGCCGTATCTCATGCAGACTAGTTCCGTGTCAGAGGGGAGGGGGAAAATGACTTTTGGTGGAAAACAGTCATTTCATTCCATTACAGCTTTTTCCAGGAAACTCATTCTGTTGCTGAAGATATGTCTTTCTGGAAAACTCGGTGGGGTAATGATGTTTTTTTTTTTCTTGCTTCTCAATGCTCAGTTGGGGTATGTACATTCAAGAATCTATTTACAGGACGAGTTCTGCATACAGATAGTGGTTCAAATGGTCATTGTATCTGTCAGGTAATGGTTTTATGCAATAACATTTTTATAATCGTTAATATCTATGGGTTTAATGCTACTTCTGATAACAATAATTTACTAGAAAATTTTGAAGAAAAAATACTTCTTTGGACAACCAGATATCCTAATGCTTACTTATTATTAGGTGGAGACTTTAGGGTTTTCTCCAGTGCATTTAACACAATCCAGCCTGATGCACTTTGCCAGAAACTCCAGAAGACACAGGTGGGGGCCTCAACTATCGCCTGGATTAAAGACTACCTGACAAACAGACCACAGTTTGTGAGGCTGAAGAACTGCACATCAAACCAGGCAATCAGTAACATTGGAGCACCACAGGGGACTGTACTCTCACCATTTCTTTTCACCCTGTACACCTCAGACTTCCAGTACAAATCAGAGACCTGTCATCTACAGAAATACTTTGATGACTCTGCAGTTGTCGGGTGTATCAGAGATGGACAGGAAGCTGAGTACAGAGAGATGGTGGAGCGCTTTGTGGTATGGTGTGGAAACAATCATCTGAGCTTGAACGTGAACAAAACAAAGGAGATGATTTTAGACTTCAGAAGAAACAGGGTGGAGTCAAACACTGTTCCCATCATGGGAGAAGAAGTGGAGGTGGTTGAGGAATACAAATACCTTGGAGTTCACCTGGACAACAGACTGGACTGGAGAAAGAACAGCGAAGCTGTTTACAAGAAGGGACAGAGCAGACTGCACTTCTTGAGGATGCTTAGGTCCTTCAATGTCTGTAGCAAGATGCTGCAGATCTTCTACAAGTCTGTTGTTGAGAGTGTAATCTCTTCAGCCATCGTCTGTTGGGGTAGTAGCATCAGAAGCAGGGACCTGAAAAGGCTCAACAGCCTAATAACAAAGGCTGGTTCTGTTCTGGGGACGACTGTAGAACCACTGGAGGAGATCATGCAAAGAAGGATTCTCCAGAGAATCAAAAAAATTATGGATAACCCTGAGCATTCTCTTCACAAGACTGTCCGACAACAGAAGAGTGTCTTCAGTCAGAGGCTTCTTCAGTTTCACTGCAACACTGACCGCTACTGGAGATCCTTCCTGCCAACAGCCATTGTAATTTTAATCAATTTCCCTCTGGGATTAATAAAGTATTTTTGAATTGAATTGAGTTGAATTAATCATCGGCATTAATATATGGACAATGGGTTTCCATAGACTCCAATAACAAGTTTTTGTGCTAAAATGGGAGGTGACCACCACCGCCATTTTGACCGTGTCACAGGTTCCGTCAAGCCCAGACAATTCCATAAAAGGGAAGAGAGGAGGAGCTGAGGGTGGGGCTGTAAGGCTGGGATCAACTGACGACACCCAGTCGAACTAGCTACAAGCTAACCTGAAGCTAACCCAAAGCTAACACGGAGGTGGGAGCTAAGCTAACGGAGGTAGCAACCTAGCTACAACCGGAGTTAACTGTGCACAACACCAGAGCTTCTGAGTCAGAGATACACCGGGCTGACCGCTGGGTAAAACTGGGTGGAACACAGAGGTCTCCAAGACCTCCACAAGCCGGCAGCTGCAGAGCAGACAAGTGCCGCTGCGCAGAGCTGCCGCTGGGGAGAACCGGGTGGAAAGGTTTCCATCCCAGAGCTCACAAGCCGTCAGCCCGCCGCAGCACACAGAAGCCGCGATCAGACAGATGCGCTGAGCTGCTGGGAGAAGTGGCGTATTTTGGCAGTTCTGGCTTGCCATAAGAACCAGCTGTCAGCCCGCGCAGCTGACTGAAGTCGCGATCAGACAGAGATGGACCGGGCTGCGGGGAGAAACAGCCGGCATTCCGGGTGGAAAACAGAGGTCTCCCGAGAGCTCCACAAGCCGATAGTCGGAACCCAGCTCCACCAACATGTTATATTTCAACCCATTTTCTAATGTGCAGCAATATGTTAAATGCACTGGGTTTTACCCTATTACATTTAAATTTCATGGTTAAACAGTACATGTTAAAATCTAAGCTCAGCTCGGCTGTGACATAAAATACATAAATATAACTTTACTTACTGAAAAAAATGAAGTGGAGACTCCTTGGACGCTCTATTAGTGCAATTAATGCCACAGCAAGTCATTTTGTCCAACAATTGCACAAATAATATCCAAACAAGAATACACAAACACAGAGACTCAAAATCCCGGAGCAGTTTCCAAGCCAGACCGAGGCTCTACTGAGGCCTTTCCACTGAGCTAGCTTTGTGGTCACGTGGGTCGGATGCTCATTAATTATACAGAATTTTAGGCTTTCAATACACTTAAACAGAAGAGTAAGAAAAAAAAATTCAACCCCCTCAGAGTTGTCATGAGTGTAAACTAGATCATTTAAACAAATACATGTTTTGATACCAGGCTGTAAACATGCTTATTTCTGCTGTGAAATTGACATTTTTAACATGGGAGTCAATGAGGATTTGCTCGCTTCTGACACCAGCCCCCAGCGGATGAGGTTGGAACTGCAATTTTTGGTACTTCCGGGTTGGGACCAATTTTAGAGCCGCATTGTGGGGCTTGATTGTAATATACAATAACTCTTTGATGACTTGATTATTATTGTTATTATGAGCTATAACAGCAATCAATTTCCCTCTGGGATTAATGAAGTATTTTTGAATTTGAACTGAATTTGAATAATATTACTTTCATAAAGCGCATTCGTAGTCCTGGACTTATTACACAAAAATAACGCCCCCCCCCCCCCCCCCTCCTCCTTTCGAAAATAAGCGCGTTCTTGGTATTAAAATGCATCTTCACGGACATCATATGTGAAATCCATGACACATAACTAGCAGAATTAGAAAATAGCGTCTTTAGCACCGTTGACTTGCATTCATTTTTTTTTCTGGGGACCCGCGGTCCCAAAAGGATCTGGGCGTGACTTAGGCTCCCTATGGAGCGCTGTCTGTCATCTAGGACAGACTGTCGCTATGGTAAAGCTATGGAATCTTGCGTTACCATAGTTACAGCTCAGGTGCATCGTTTAAAATGCTTTATTCTCAAGGCTAGAACCAAACCAACAACCCCTTAAGCAGGTCAGATTACAGATAAACAGTCAAGATGAAACTCATTTGAATCTGAAATATGAGTTATAAACGTACATTTTTATAACTAGACCAACTATCTGCCCTGTACAGTAGTGGTGTCTGGTCGAAGCAGACATGGAGAAAAACAGAAGGAAGAAGAGAAAAGGCAGATTCTGTGGTGCAACGTGCCGATGTCGGATTTCTAGTCATGCTAATATCGAACTTTTACAAGCTGTTAAATTTCAAAGTACGTGACTGGCGTGATTGAAACACCCATCGTTGGATTACATTTAAATTGAAGTACAACATATGCATGATCCAGGACGTAAGGCAAAGCGGATTAGAAAATAGCTTGTTTAGCCCCATTGACTTGCATTCATGTTTTCGTTCTTCCAGGGACCCATGAGCCGACCGGGAAGGGAAGAGAGGCTCCCTATTGTAGTGAAGTAGGAAGTACAGATAGTGGCTTTAACAATTAGTGAAGTAAAAGTAAAAAGTACACCTGAAGAAAATAAGTAAAGTACAAATAAAGAAAGCTTCAACATATTACATTATATTCAATAACTTCATTACTTTTTAAAAGATTTATTTTTTGTTTGCATTTTAAATTCTGTCATCCTGTCCCTCTAAACATGATTTAACATAAAAGGAGCCATCATCAGGTGTACCTCTTATGCATAATAATGATCGGATCACAGACCAGATGTTTGATGATGTAGAAATATATTTAATAAAAAGATATCAGAACTTAAAGAAGATGATACAATCCTCTTCAGATAAATAACAAACCGTTTGACATCAAATAAATTTCTCTTTGGTCTTGATGCTCATATAGCAGTAAAGATTATAAATATGAA